GTTCAATTGACCGCTTGGTAGAAGTGCAAACCAAGGGGAACGTAGCTAAGAAATACTGCACAGCAGCTAGCTAGCTTCTAATATCGTGTATTTGGTCGTATTCTGGATAGACAACTCTAACAAGAAGTGACAACACCAATTCGAAAAGTTATCAGAGGAAGGGATATTAATGATATTCTTCAGCACCAAGAGAATTATGGGGTGGGAGACAACTTCTAGGATGTGTTTGGCAACCTTGTAAAATTGGGTCAGGACTAAACCTGACCCGATGTTAAGTGGTTTCTTGTTTGGCAAGTGAGAGGGTCAGAGCTGGCCCAATTTTTTGTAGCCCATAATTGGTCATTAAGCCAAATTTCTTAAGGACCGGGGGGCTGGTCCAAAAGAAAACTGGTTTAGCACAAAACTGTGTCAGGACTGGTCCAGACCCAGTTTTGTGTAGTTTGTCAAACACACCCTTAAAGTTTCAGGATCGGATTTGTGTAACAGGTGATGACAAGGTCCTCTCCTTGTTCGTAAGTATGAATTGTTCGATGTTATCCCCCCCTTGCTGATATATGGTTAAACCATATTAAGTATAGCGGGTTTTCCAATGAAATGAAAGCCCTGTTTTTATCCTTAAAAAGGAAAAGGAAAAAAAAAACTTATAACGTGTGATATCACACAACTGTAACTGTTAAGTGAGCTCGTGGCAAACTGTTTGTTGGCTGACCATCAAAGACAAGAATGGCGGATATGTACAGTTTTAACTCTACGCAACTAACCACTGTGATTGTATTTATATCTTCGACGGTATCTTAACCCGTTGAAGATTCAAGATTCAAGATTCAATGAGAAGAACAGCGGGTGATGATGCAACTTCAGCAGACCCATTGTTAGATCTCAATACCAATCCTCGCACTCCGGAGGAACTTCTAGAATGCGAGCCGGTGCCATTTAGAGTTTTTGCTAGGCTAACGGTGTGGGAGTCTAAGAATCTGTGGAAGCTCTCATGGGCTTCCATTGTGATCACCATGTTCAACTTCATGCTCAGTTTAGTCACTCAGATGTTCATGGGGCATCTCGGTGCTCTTGATCTCGCTGGCGCGTCGATCTCCAATATTGGTATCCAAGGCCTCGCTTATGGCATTATGGTACTGTTTTTATCGAACCTCCCTCTGCTTAACAACCGCAACTACACCGCTTTCATAGTGTTATTCCATCTAGTTCGGTCGAGGGCTACATACTTTTCTCGGATCATATTCTTCTCAACTGCTTTCAACCAACTACCACCTCTAGACCTAATTAATGCGGTTGAATGTTTTTAACCCTCAACAGTACTAGTAACCTCTAACTTCCTACGAGTATACTCATCACTTATTTTTTTAATCTCTTAGTAATATTTTCACGTGCCTGCCATAACATTCTCGTTTCTGCTGCACTGATACTCAGAACATATATATTATCTGTCAACTATCGCTTCTGCTTCGCAGAACTTTGTTGGTCTTATCGCTCACGTATAAAAATTTTTCCTTCCATTCTATGCTAACGAATAGGACTCCAGAAGCATTAGACAGACTTAAGAATATGTAAGTGTTAAGCGATTTCTTATCGGCCGTCCTCTGCAGCTAGGAATGGCTAGCGCACTGCAAACAGTCTGCGGCCAAGCCTACGGCGCCAAGAAATACTCCGAAATGGGCATCTTTTGCCAGAGAGCTCTCATCCTACAGTTCATCTCAGCCCTCACCCTCTCTGCGCTGTACTGGTACTCCGGGCCCTTTCTTCAGCTCATCGGCCAATCCGAATCTGTATCCTCAAAAGCGCAGATTTACGCACGTGGCCTGATCCCTCAGCTCGTGGCTTTCTCTCTCTACTGTCCACTTCAGAGATTTCTACAGGCTCAGAACATTGTGGTTCCTATGGCCTTCATGAGCCTAGGAGTGTTTTTGCTCCATTTGGTCTTATGTTGGATGGCTGTGTTTGTTCTCAACTGCGGATTGCTCGGCGCTGCTCTAACGCTTAGTTTTTCTTGGTGGGTTCTTGTGGTGGTGACGACGGTTTACATTTTGTTGAGTCCCGAGTGTGAGGAGTCTTGGGCTGGGTTTTCTGCCAAGGCATTTAGAGGTCTCTGGCCTTACTTCAAGCTCACAGTGGCTTCAGCTGTTATGTTGGTGTATGTGTTCATTTGTTCATTAATATGATTTAGCTTCAGAACTTTTTATTTTTTATTTTTTGGAGGGGAACTTAAAAGAAATCGAACTTTCTTTGAGCAGTTTGGAGATTTGGTACAACAATGGGCTTGTGCTGTTATCAGGCTTCCTTCCAAACCCAGAGATTTCACTTGATGCTATCTCAATCTGGTATGCTCACAACCTGCCTTCACTCTTGGTACAACAAGTTTTGGAGAAACCCCCAAAACTTGTTTCACTAAAACAATTGTGAATTCGTTCGAATCGTCACGCAAAATGTATTCGGACGATTTTATGCTTATTGTACTTAATTTTAGGCTTTGAAGCTCACGCACTTGCATTGTGAAGCCAGGTTTTTCTGTTTTGCCTTTCCTTTTTCAGACATTTGTGCCATGTCGGTAACCAGTAGATTGCGCGCGAATATTATCTGAAAACTAATAACACATCTTTGACTCAATGCTGAAAACTAATGGAACATCTTTGGATCTCTCAGTGTCAACTATTTCACTCTGGAGTTCCAGATAATGCTCGGTATAAGCAATGCCGCAAGGTCAGTAAAAGCAGTGACTTCTCCTATCATCTCTTTTTCTTACGGTTTTCACATAACTCTACGGGCATTGACTCAGCATCAGGGTTGGCAACGAGCTTGGCGCTGGTCGCCCTCGGGTTGCTAGGTTCTCAGTCACCGTAGTCGTGACGACTTGTGTCCTTATCAGCCTGATCGTTAGCGGTCTCGTGTTCACGCTACGTGTTCCGTTGAGTGAGCTCTATACTCATAACCAGTATGTCGTCAGCGAAGTCTCAAATCTCACGCCTTTGCTTGCGATTTCGATCTTTCTCAACGGAATCCAACCGATTCTCTCAGGTAAGCCTGGCGTGTTTCTCGCTGATCCAAGGGTTAGTTGCGGATAATTTCCGTACATTATGAATGATCCGTTCGTTAGTCAGAGCTATCATGTTATGCAAATTGAGCTGTGCAGGAGTAGCCATTGGAAGTGGATGGCAAGCTCTTGTGGCCTACGTTAACGTCGGCGCTTATTACGTTGTTGGACTTCCTATTGGATGTCTTCTTGGCTTCAGAACAACATAAGTTTTGATCTTTTTGTTTCTACGAAATTTGAAACTTGAAAATTTCTGAGACTGTTGATTTTTTTTAATATGAATTTTGCAGGTGGACAAGGCTACCGATCGATTAACAGAGACTGCCAACGAAGATACTTTGGTTGTATAACAGACAATGGCTGATAAATTTTCGTCTTAGTTGTCTGTCTGATGAAATGGGATGATCAAATTCTCTGTGCTTGTTCTTTTTCCTCCCTGAAGAAAAATGATGATATGTCTGATTCTAATCCAAATTCTCCCTTTTTCCATCTTCAGTAAAAGCCTTTTTTCGACAAATTAATCTGAAATTATGATTTAACCGATGTGAATCGTGTTAGTTCTTACTTTACGTTCTAAGATAATTCGTAACAATTTCGACGGTTATTATGGTGGAGGAACTGTGCAATGCAGCATGTCTTAGGGTTATATATACTCGGAACAATTACTCAAGCAACAAGTTTTCAATTACAAGACATCTTAATCATCATTCGGATGGAAAGTCTTTTCACACCACCTTCAGTAAAACAAGGTTGTCAGTTTGTTTTCTGTCAACCATGTTTCTTACATAGTTCATTAATACATGTTTGATGCTAGAGAGTGATATATTTATTTTAGACCCACAACATGTTCGTATAAAAACTTCCCCTTAGAAAGGGAATGACTGTTTCTTCTTATCATACTAAATCTCTCATCCCCCTCCTCCATCACCCAGCCAAGGTTTTGCAAGGTAAGCCAAAAAACTAAAACACGAGAGAATCGCCTTTCCCTTTGTTGACGGCGTAGGAGAGATCATACGAGAGGGTTACATCACATACGAGAGATGAGCAAGGGTACCGGAACAAAGCCCGCTTCTTCTCCCATGGCAGTATTGAAAATATCCAGTTCCCCGTGTCTCTCAAGAACCCTCATCCGGCACTCTTCGGCAGCCATCAGGCCAGTGTTGAAGGCGCCATGTACCGTGCCTGTATAATCTTTGCACGTAGCTTCCCCTGCAAAGAAAATGTTGTCTACAGGGATCCTCAGCCACTCATGCAGGTAGTGGGGTTTACCAACCGAATCGTAGCTGTAAGAGCCAAGGGAGTTCGTATCAGAGCCCCAATGAGAAACCAGGTGGTTGATCTGCAGAAGGCGACAGAAAAGAGTTGATGAGCATCATTTTTCTTATTGCATTGACATAATTAAATGACTGGATTTCTTCATTCACATCTAAATGCACGTGGAAAGGGATTCAAATAAATGGGATCCACTTTTAGCTACTTATTTATTATTAAATAAATCCTAATAATCCTCCACAAGCAGGTGGGCACAAACACACACTAGTTTCGTGCACAAGGATTGCACATAAATATAAACCTGCAACACAGAATTTATCTGTATCAAGCATATAAGGAGGTGGACAAATCAACACAAGTCTTAAGTTTGGTAGATGGCAGTTGGTACAATGGTAAATTATTTGAGATTTTGAACTTCTTTTTTTTTGGACAGTGTAAGCAATATTAACCTTTTCTTTTTTTTTTTTTTTGGAGAAAGTGACCGTAACCTGTGACCAATATAAACTTAAGCGTCGTTAGATTGAACTGCAAAACCCCCTTGGTGTTTGTGTACATATAGTATAGAGTAGTGCAGATATATAAGATATTTTCCCACTGGATGAACAGCACGATTAGTATAAATAAAAAACATCTAAAGTGTCTTCAAAACAGAAATTAATTTCTCATGGTTTTTTTCCACCTTGGTACATCAATCAAAAGGTAAAAAAGGACAGTTTACTCAATAAACATGATGAATGCATGGTGTTGTAGCATCAAAACTTTTGAGCCTCCACTAATCAAAGCTCTATTTTCAACAGTTGAGTTCATATCAAATAGAAAGTTTATGTGACAAAACTCAGCTTATGACGTTCAACTTGCACAGACATGGATATGCTAACATGAATCCCCATGGACATGACACATGATATTCTGAAGGAATGCACATGAAACAACAATAAGTCGTTTCCAATATGGCGTCGAACACTCCAATATGGTGTCCTACAGGACACAGCTACACAAATGGAACCATTCCTCAGAAACAAAGGTCTATGTGATGAATGAACCATATACAACTTTCCTTAAAAAATGCAAGAGTCAGCACACTGATTAAACTAGCAAACTATTACCGAGTGGTGCACAAGAAGGACATGAGCATTGTAATAGACATTAACATGCAAATTACTATCAATGGTAGTTTAAAAAAAAACTAAAAGCATTATAGTAGGAAGTTCTGGATGATAGAAAATTATACCGGCTCGGACGCATCTGGGAGTATCTGTTTTAGTTGAAGAAAAGCGAAATTGGCAGCGGCTTCGTCCGACATCTTTTCAATGTCATGAGCAAGCCGGCCTGCAGGCATATAAACAAGTACAGGATGACCTGTTGCCTTGTGAAGATTAAGGAAATAGCTGCAGCTATAAGAAGAAGAAGAGACAACTCCAAGGAACTCTACATTTGGCCAAAAAACCTTGTCAAAGTGCAATGCAATTTTGTTCTCCGTGCCAACTGCAATATCTCTTATTGCTTCTTCCTTCCATTGGGGAAGCTTTGGCTCAAACTTTATAGAATTGGCCTTCAGAACTCCTAGTGGAACAGTAATGACAGCGGCATCTGCATTAAAAGACTCACCGTTGTCTACACTGACTTCTACACCCAATTTACCACGAACTACTTTTGTAACCCTGAAACACGAGAACAGATTATAAACATACTGAAAGTAAATCATGGCCTGAAATAACTGAAGGAGGTTGATACTTACCGGTGTCCTAGACGGATATCCAGACCTTTTGCAAGAGTATTAATTACAGGGCGGTAACCACGGACCATGAGACCATGACCACCAGGAAGGAGAACTTCCTGCATTTCATGAAGTGGGGCATGCTTTTAATAAATACAGCTAATTAAATAAGTCACGAGATGTTAAAAAGAACTTATGCTGCAATAAATTAACATGATACAGAGTAATCTAATGTTCCTAGTCCCAATTACCCCGTAAATTATCATGTGCAAGTTCTAGCTAATTATGCAGTATAATAAGTTTGTCTCCAGCTAGCTGTTGATTGGAACGTGAAAATTGTTTGCAGTATGTCCTTAAAAGATTATCGAAAACTTACATCATCCCAGTATTTGAGGGAGATGGTGTCTGCATCTGCAGCGAACCACCCTTCCATTCTGCACAAGTACCATTGCAGAACTTTGTTGGCGAGTCCTTCTTGCCTGAAAGTAATAAAATAATAATAATAATAATAATAATAATAACAACAACAACTTCGCTACTCTGTTCTAACTTCTAATAAACTGAAATATTGAGTTGAAACAGAACTAGTTCCAATTATATAGTCACAGTAGTCATCATACCTCAGATCAGAACGTCTCTCAAGAACCATGGCAAGTGCCTTGGCTATAGACATATCTTCACTATTCTCCTGTCTAAGTTTGTTTGCCTGTAAATTAGAAAGATTTAGCTGTGTGCAAAACTTAAAATTTCCGGAATGACTAAGAACACATCCATACGAACCGTACCTCTTTCAACATATTATCAAAAACCTCACCAACTTCTGTCACAAGTTTTTGAGGAATTTGCTTCCCATCCATATCAAAGAGAGCGTAGCTGCATACAAGAATATTGATTTGTACAATAAGCACAGGCAGTTGCACAATTTCCCTCTGAAACTGAACATAGTGATAAAACTTATTGACATCAACAGCATCATTGTTTACTGGATACAGGTCTCACATATATTAAGTTGATCGACAGGCTAAAATCCAGAAGCCACTGCAAAGTGTTAGATGCTATAAAGAGCGACAATCTCTATTCCACTATTATTTAAAGATAAAAGCGGTTTGGATTTGTAGGGTTCTCTGAGGAATGCGTTCAAGGTCAAACGGTCATTGTGGCAACAAAGGAGGGTGAAAAGAAATTAGGTGGCCATGAGATTTAGTTATTTGGTATTGGTTTGGGTAGTCTGAAAGAGAGAAAGTCAAGGGCAGTTCTTAAAGAATGCTATGATAAATGTGTAGTTGACAATACTCCATGAATAGCAAGAAACATGTGAGAGAGAAAAAGAAAGAGACAAACAATGCCAAAAAAGGCATTTTGACAGTTTGTAGGGTTCCCTGAGGAATGCGTTCAAGGTCGAAGGGTCATTGACGCAACAAAGGAGGGCCAGAAAAGAAATTAGGTGGCCATGAGATTTAGTTACTTGGTATTTGTTTGGATAGTCTGAAAGAGAGAAAGTCAAGGGCATTTCTTAAAGAGTGCTGCAATAGACGTTTAGCTCACAGTACTCCATGAACAACAAGAAACATATGAGAGAAAAGAGACGAACAATGTCAAAAAAGACATTTTGACAATAGAATGGTGATATAATCCTCTCAGCAGTTTTAAACCATGTCAGAAACATTAATTAATCTTAAAGTTAGAGAAGTTGGCTATTGCAATGAAGCTTAAAACCGCTGGAGTGATTCATCTTCAGGAAGAGACGACAAGTTTGTTTGTTTATACTAAGTGTTTATTTTTCAGTCTTCTGTAGCTCTTTCTCGGTGACTGGGCTGATGGGCTTTGTGAGTTGAGGCGTGATTTTATGATTGAGAAAGGATTCCATAATTTTACAGCTTTTTAGGAGAGCTAAATTAAGAGATGCATAATTATATTGAGGATCGATGCTGCTGATATTGTAACTTGAAATAACTCCTATTTCAGAAAATTTAACTGATCGAATACTCGTCATTAGCATTCACCTAGGCAGTAAGTGATGTCAACTTGACCCCTCCATGTAATAATAATGCAAACAAAACTCTGCCAAGTGCAGAAGATTAATACCTTTCTAAATCATGATCAAACAACACAGAATTATCACCACTGGTGCGATAAAGTGGAAGTCCCAGTCTCCCTATCAGGGGAGCCAAGGGATTTTCTTCGCAAACACCATGCAGCCTGAAGTATAGGAGATTAGAAAGTGCACATCAGAATAAAAATTAGCCACTTACAAGTTTAAGTAGTATATTTGAGTGGTAGCCAAGAATAAATTCGAAGGAACAGCAAATACTTACCATGCTGCACCCATGTCAACAGGGAAACCGAAAGAGTAGTCAGTGTATGCTCGACCACCAATTCTATCCCTTGATTCTAACAACACAACCTGACAACAAAAAATAAAGCCATACACTGAATACATGACACAAACAGGTCCAACTTGGCCATCAGTGCCTTTCATGAGTTTACCTTGAAGGATGCATTTTGAAGTGCATGGGCAGCTGCAAGGCCAGCAAAACCACTGCCAATAACGATGGCAGAAGGAGGAGAAGTAGGTTTTCTCTCAACTGTCGAACAGTAAGAGGCTGCAATTATACAGGGCTTTCAAATCAGTTCTATTCAACTCTTAGAGAAGGCAGAACACACATATATGTTCTGAGAAATGAGGATACGGACTAGCAGCAGGAAAAATGAGAAATAAGGATGTCTTGTTATGCATGGCATCTTTACCACAGGTACTTGGTTAAGCAAGCAGCATGTGTAACCAGTGGCAGGCATCAGATTACACTCTGACAAAATTATATAATGGATAATCGTCAAACACAAACATACACAAAATTGTACGTTATTAACATCAGAAATTAAACTTAGCAAGAATGTAAAAACATTTACAAAAACAGAGATAAACAGAGATAAACTCATGTTCAGTACATAGTGGTTAAGGAGCTATTTATTTTCTTTTAGTAATATTTGGCATCATTTGGTAATTTCAACACGTCTACCTATTTGTGGTTCACATTCAAAGTTTCAGACTATATTTCTCGCTCACAATAGTGAGAAGATTCTGCACCTGACATGCTGACAAGCACATGCACCCCACCTACATGCATAGAGTTAGTATCTTGAAATAGTTTTTTCAGAAGCACATGCACCCCACCTACATGCATAGAGTTAGTATCTTGAAATAGTTTTTTCAGGATATCAAAACAGAGGCAGAGAACTAAGTTATATTCAATGAGAGTTAGTATCTTGAAATAGTTTTTTCAGGATATCAAAACAGAGGCAGAGAACTAAGTTATATTCAATGAGTGTTTCTTCTTTTTCTGTGGTAATCACTGTTTGATACTTCTTCTCAGAATTAGACTGCCAGTTTCTAGAACTTACGAAAAAGACCCTATTGGCAATTTAATCTCACAAGGATATTGGGGAAAAGAATCTCAAGGCTAGAAAGACTTTTAAAAAAATATCATGCCAGAAAAAATCATTGCGAATCAGAATCCTCAAATATCAACCTCTTGATCTTTATTAGTGATATAACTGAATTTAACGAAGCCTATTTATATTGTATCTTGAAGTGGTAATGTAAATTTGCATGCCATATATTCTTTTGAGATTAATAATTTATGCTGCTACTCAGAAAAACACATCCTTTCTGAGAATAGATGTCATTCTTGAGAACTAAGAATGGATATCATGAAGTGCACGTCAGTAAAATGACAAAGAAAATCAACAAACAATTGCCAATACATAAGCTGAATATCTAAAGGGACTGCATACAATTGAGCTAGGATGTTGTTTATTGCAAATATCAAAGACAAAGCTGCCATCTCACATAGATACCCCTGAAAAAGATTTTAAGGGAGATACCCCTGAAAAAGATTTTAAGGGTTTCTTCCTAATATGATGCATCCTTTATTTGTTCCTTTTTTTTTGTGCATCCTTGTTCAAGTTAAAAAAATGGATATTGTTTATTGTTTTCCTTGAATACATATAACAGTTGATATCTATATTATAACAAAGCATATACAACATTTTCTTTTCTTTAAATCAAGTAGAGCATGACCCCTCTCTTCCCCTACCTCAATAAGCAAAAAAGAAACTCCCTCAATACCATGATGCACAAATCTAAATGAAGATAGGACCTTTTGCATATGAGAGGGAGGCTCTCTACCAACTTCATGACCTATGTCTTCATAGTTAAACTGGGCTTTAAGCCTTTAACTATCAACCCATAGATTTCCAACGAAGAGCAGAATGCAGTGGCGTATGATTTAACAGAAAGGAGCAATCCAAGTTTCTAGTTTCTATCATTAAGATGCAAGAACCGTCCAAAGATGAGGTGTTTATGCAATAGGTGATATCATCACCAGTGGCAGTATCCTGGCAGCGAACCAATTAAACATAACATTACACAAAGGTCCTACTAGTTTAAGCTAAATGAAGACAGTTGCCCCTATTGTAGTGTAGACTTCTCTTTATCATATCAACACAGTGACTGTTTACATAATTCAATATTTTAATTAACTGCTGAAATTTATTATTCTTTAATCCCAAAACTAAACTCGATGATGTCATTTAACTACAACAGCTAGCAAACATGACACGCACTTGTATTGGGTCTACATCACTTTACGACTTGGACCCACATAAGCTGAACATCTCCTTCAATAATCAATAATTAATTAAATCAACATGAAAATAAACTTCCAACCAGAGAAATTAACTAGGCAATGATCAAATAAGCTTCTAATTAACCAAAAATCATTAAAAATAGAGAAAACATTTCAATTAGTAAACTAAGCTTCCAATTAACGAAATTAACTGCACAATAAGCAAATAAGCTTCTACTTGACCAAAAAAATAGAGAAACATCTTTCAATAGTTAATTAGTAAACACTAACAAAGCTTTCAATTAACAAAATTACTAAGTAATAATCAAGCAAGTTTTTAACGAAGACCTCCTGCATGAGGGAGGCTCTCTACCAACTCTATACCTATGGCTTCATAGTCCAACGTTAAGATACAATGCCAATTAACAAAAATTGGGTTTGATTGCAATCCAAGATACCCTATGAAGAATAGCATGAAATAAAATACAATCTATACTAGTCTATACTTTACACTTAAACAAGGTGCCACAGGGTGCAAAAGAGTGATGAGCATGTATGCGACTTTGCATCTTCCCCTCTGTTAAATCTCTATTCTCTAATTTTTCATCCATCTGAAATTAATGTCAAATTTTTCCGGATTTCAAGATATACTAATTCATTAATTAACTGCTTCTTTATGCATATAATCTTTCATCCCTTGCAAATAGATATTCTTTCCTATTAATAAATCATCTCTTAAAAGCTATTTGGTTCATGGATTAGTTTTGATGCATGTCACGCATCTAAAAAGATCCATATTCATAATCTTGTTTGCTTGCATGCATATTGAAGAGGATTTGATGAATGACAAATCTAAGCAAAGAAATTCTTGTTTGGTTGAACTTGAACATGGATTTGTTGAGGATAATATGGTATAATATCACTCCTTTTTTTTAAATTTTTAAATAAGCACAATAAAAACCAGTGAAATCAGCATATTTTTAGGGAATTAGAATTGATGAATTAATCCTTCGTTGCATCTCCAATTTTGTGATAAAAATGCTACCCAAACAATGTATTTAGTTAAAATTCAAGATTTAAGTCTTGACGGTACCATTTTTCCTATGCAAAATGTAAGGAATGATAGGAAGTGTTGTGTTATATCTTTTCTCTAAGAAATTTGGTTCTAGAAAATGCTCAGGCTTATAAACATTATTTTATTAAAAATTTCTAATTTAAGGCATAGATTTTAGCGTGAAGACAAAAAAAAGAGCTACCAAAGTCATAATATTGCAGTATTATGAGTGCGATGACATTGTCAATACTAAGTTCCGGGCATCACATGCATTTAATAACAGAACAGTCTATAACTACAAAGCTCAGTTTCTATCATCACCAAGCAAGAACAGTCCAAAGGTGAGGCGTGTATGCAACAGGTGATGTCATCAACAGCAGCCACATCCTCGCAACCAATTAATTAAACTTAAATCAAAGTTAAAAAAAAATAAACCTCCAGTCGGTTTAAGCCAAACAAAAGACAATTATCTTATAGCAAATTAGACTATCCTTTCATTGTATCGACACAGGGACCATTTCCATAATTTAACATTGACCAAACAAACTGTTGCCAGAGCTGAAATGGGCTGTCCAAATCATATTACTTTTTTTTTTAATCCCAAAAGTAAAGCCGGTGACTTTATTTAATCTCAACAGATAGCCAACGAGACACGCAATTATTTTGAGGTCTACGTCACTTTCTCAACTGGACCCCTACGTGAGCTCAACATTTCTTTCAATAATCAATTAAATTCAAATAAAAACTAAAACAAGCTTCCAACAAACGAAATTACAACTTAAAAATCATTAAAAAAATAATATAAAAAAAGACTTCACCTTTATCAAGAGAATCATTAGAATTACAGCGGCTCTCCATGTTTACTCGATCGATAATCTCCGTTCCAGCGACTTCTACAATTGATTATCGACGGCGGCAATTGAGGGGAGTAATGGAGAGTAAAAATCAGCAGACAAGTGATGAAGTGGTTCGAATTCGTTGAAAAACCCAGATTCACGAGATAGCTCATGCGGAACTCGAAGAAAACCCTAGATCGCGCTTAGATCGGAGGAGAACCGCGGAATCTCGCCGGGATTCGGCGGATCGGAGCTCAAACCGTTCAGTTCGGAGCGGGGAGAGAGCCGGGTCCCATGGATTGAGGCGATCCGGGATGAGATTTGGGAGAGTTTGAGGGAATTTTGGAGAGAAATTGGGAAGTTCAGAAAAAAAAGAGAAGAAGGAAGCTTTTGGCTTTGATTTTTTTCGATGACCTAACTCTGCCCCGGCTATTCTGGAGGGTGCATTTATAACGTTTCGCGTCGGTTGAGTCGGGCCACCGGAAGGTGAGGTTACCGTTTCCCCGTTGGTAAGGAGAAGATTCAACGGAACGTGAATATCCTCGAATATATAGCTGTCCTTATGCAATACGGCACTGTGAAGAACATAGTTTCTAGGATGCGAAGAGAGTTTATTAATATGTTGGTTATATCTGAAAAGATAAGATCATGTGTATTAATCGTCAAATAACCTCGAATCTATTAATTTAAGGACTAAATCAATTGCAAAACATAAATTTGGATATTTCGGATACGACACGAATATTTCACTTTGAATCTGTGTACGTAGGCATATCATATCAGATATAGATATTTAATTACTATGTTTGTATCTTAATGGATACAGATTCGGATACATCTTGAATACAGGATTTTTTTGCATCCCTATCTAAATATCAATGTAACATGTAGACAAGAGGGCAAACTATTTGGCCTTCAAATTAGTGGATCTAAACCGATTTTCATGATCCAAAGATCTAACCTTAAATTTGTAGGCATGTTGAATACGTAGATGGACTAGAATCTAAGAAGTTTACTTTTACTAATATATATGTATGGAGGTGGTAAAAAATGCAAACAAGATCTACCTGATACAGTGAAGGGGGCCACCAAGGGCAGTTCAATCATTTAACATGATCAATGGACTAATTCCCTCACAAAGTAGGCACTTGCTTCTCCCATGACCAAGTGGAGTTCTCATTATTGGCCCCAACGAACTACTGCACGAGTTGGAATTATGCATTGCGGAGATGAGTGCATCGCGGAGATGAGTGCTACCGCTGGGCCTTTACAGTGATGCACTGTTGGTCCAAACGGCCGAGAAAAGTGAGAACTACATTGCGGATGTTTCGGGTCTTTTATATCGTAATTAGCTTAGATTACAATAAAAAGAATACAATCGAAAACTAACGACAAATTTATATTTCATGGGGTTCTTTTCTGTGTGCCGATGGAGAGTCGATCTTGTACTCTGTTGACGATCTGACTATGACGATAGGTCTCTTGCTGTTGGTCCCCGATTTGGTTGCTTGGAAGATAACTCAGTCTTCTCTTAGAATCGAAATAGAAGAGAAACACACGTGTATGGGGTGTTCAATTTTTTTCTCTCTATGTATGCATGTTAATGATGTCAAAATGAACAATCTTCTCCTCCTTTTATATGCTAAAAGAGAGAGTTAATAAACTTTAATTATGGATTAAGTGGTCATCAAGATAGGAGATAGTAGGGGACCAATTATCCCCTTAAGAATAGCTCTCAAATACCTGATTGACAAAGTTTGCTAATTAATTGGTTAGCAAACTTTGCTGAAGGCGTTTGGATGAAGCTCATGCGGATGTGGGTGAGCCATCTTCTGAATCATGGATGACGTAGCCCACGTGGGTTGCTGTGAGTGAAGTTTGCTAATTTATTGGTTAGCGTACTTCGCTGGCAAAGTCGATCAATTGGTTGGCGAATTTTGCCAGTGAGTTCAAATTTAGCTCACAACTTAGCTGACTCGATGATGCATTTTAACTTGTATTAGGGATTAAAATATTTTGAGTAATAGCTAGAGGTGTACTGTTGAATGTAGCTTGAGTTGTCTCATTTGGGTTAAAAATTATCTTCAATCTACTTAGTCACATGAGGTGTACTGTTGAACGTGGCTTCATTTACTGTAGACTTGTGTTGAAGGCCCAATGTTGCTTGTACTTGTCCTATTCTATGTTTGGAATGAAGCTTGCTCGCCCTATTGTTGGAGTGAAGTTGAGAAATCAACGAAGTTCAGCTGACTCTAAGTTTTGGCGAGATTCGTCTTACTCTGGGTTGTGTGGGTGAAGTTCGTCAATTATTGATGTTTAGTAACTAGCGACAATCGTTGGGATTACGCCTTTGGATTCGCACCGTGATCTGCAGCTGAGATCTCTTGACTGAAGATTCATGAGTTCTGCTATAGATTTGAGTGAGTTTTAGGCTGTGATTTAGCCTCTTCGTTCGGTCTAATTAAATCTTAAAAGATGTGATTTTCTTAGAAGTCTAAATTTGGAGAAGGCTACAATTAGTGCTATTTCCCTTCCAAATTCTTCATTTTCATCTTCATCTCCTCCATGTCTAAGTCTCCATCGCTTAGATCAGAGATGCTCCACAATAGAGGAGCTAAAACAAAATATCTCCAACTGGAGCTTGCCCAAGTAGGGGGCAAACAAGCAGATGAACTCTGCATACTCCGCCCATCGGTGGACTTGCTATCGACCGAGAAGGGTAAGCTTGAGTAGATCATCAAGAATTAGCCAAGAGCTTAGGGTGAGTTGAATCGCGATGGATATGTTTGGAGCTTTGAGTGCCATGCTCTGTGTAATAAAATCATTCGATGACTGAGGTGACGGTTGAAAAAAGATCCTTGGTGCTTCACTAGCAAGGACTCTGATAGTGATTAGATTTAACAGATGTAAACCTAATTTTGGCTATAAGAAGTGCTTCTTTCTCTTGACATGTTCTAGTTTGCAGCAACATTGGCACCTCTTGTTTAGCAACTCTTTCTCATCCTCTGGGATAGGGCCTAGGGATGAGTAAGTAAGAGATATTTTTTCTGCATGGGGAAAAGTTTAGCTCCCCAAGTTTTGGAGATTAGAGGAACAATGGCTATAGCTTGGTGCAACTCACTTATATTCCTTAGCCATCATATTATCCATAATTATGCGTAAAGTGTAGTAGCAGATAGTAACAAATACTCGTCATCCTTGTAACTAGATAGTCTAAATATTGCATTTATGTGGTAGGGCCTTCGATAAATAAAAATAATTTTTTTTGAAATTGTCCATCTTTGTGTGCTAGATTTATATGAAATTTACTTTTACGATAGATTTAAACTCTGCATGGAGTTGTTGTGTTGGAAGTGAAGCTCAGGCTTCCTTATATTGAGGAGAATCGAACTGAAGTTCGCTAGGTAAGGTCTTAAACAAATTGAGTTAGAATTTTCTCAATTTGGAGACTTAATGAAACTTGCCATATCATTCTAGCAAAGTTCACCTTAGTGCCCAACTGAATGGGGTGAGTTCATTCCCTTTAATTTGAAAAAAAAATCGGCTGGGCAAAGCTCGATAAGTCTGTTTGGCGGGCCTCAGCAATTCTGTTATGCGGGCTCACCATGAGGATTTAAAATTTGGACCTCAAATTTTCTACCTGTAATTGTAGCAAAGGTTCAGAGCAAGATTCTTGATGAAGTTCAAGGCAAGAATCTTTAGCGAAGTTCGGGGCGAGATTTACGATGAAGCTCAAGGTCCAAATCTTCGGCAAAGTTCAAGGTTAGTCTATAAATAGTGATGTTAATTTGCCTCCTTTCTTCTTCACTTTGATTTTCAAAACTCTAACTTTTTGAAAACCTTGATTTTCTCCAGAACCCACCAAAGAATCTCAAGATCAATCTTTGATGGCTCCTCGTCGTGCAATCTCAAAGGGAAGAGATGCTGCTAGGGGGTCTCACCAACTAAGAACTGATGACACGCTGGCGCAATTGGAGATGGTGGTGGGTAAGTTTCGAACCCATTGTTTCAGTGGAAAGTTGGTTCTTTTATTAATAGACTCATCACAACTTCAATCGTTACAATGATCTTAACAAATAAAAATAAAAATTATAAATTTCTAAAAACACACACAACGAACGTTTATCACCCGCTGCTTGCGTGGGGTCTTAGCCTGTACTGGAGTTTATCCGTGGACCACCGACTGATCAGATCCAACATAAAGGTTTCATTGCCTCACGAAGGAGACAAGAAACTAAAGTAACTATCTCGGCGAAGTGAGATAATCACTCTTCTCGAGAATCGCAGCTAGGTACGATATTAAGGAAATGGATGAACTGATGCAGATCTCTCGAACTCTTCCTCTTTATGCTGAATAGCTCACCGAGATCTCTTCCTCCTCTCTAAAATTCATGCTCCTCATTCTTCAGTTCGAAAGGGCTTCCCCGTGGCTTGAGAATTCTGGATCTGTGTAAATGAAGGCCCTAGGGCTGTATTTATAACTTCAGAAGCCCTGTTTTCGGATAAGAACGAATGAGTTGATCTTATCCTCGGTTGTAATCACTTAACCATATTTATAGATAACCTCAAATCAGTTGGGGAGGCTCTGGATCAGAATCAGGGTAGTTAACAGCAAGAAAATGGTATAAAACAGTATTTTTGGGGCTTAGTCCTGGACAGGTCAGGATAGTCCAGGCTAGGTCGGGACAGTCCGAGCCAGGTCGGGACAGTCCGGTGTTGGGTTCTTTTGTTTTGATGATGATTTACAAACAATTTTATCTAATATTTTTTATTTAGTATTTGTGTTTTGTATCTATTCTAGGCAAACAATATGTTAGAGGTTGGATGGAATTGCGCCATCACGATAATATCCAATTGAGGTTGGCAAAATAATAGAGTGAAGCAATATAATTCAAGTTGAAGATCCAAGTTCAAGCTTCATCCGCAAGTTTACCAAGATAGAGCTTCGTTGAATATCACAAGCTTGGGTATATATAGTTTAGGTTTTATATTATGTGTGTTAAATACTTTAAGCTCAATCATATACACACACATTTTATTGGTTACACACACACACACACACACACACACGTTTTGGTTTTGTATAGATATAGTTACATATATACATATATGTTTTGGTTTAGCTATATAGATATGAAACAATATATATCTTCATATACACTTTTATATGTTTCATATTCTATTGTATTTGAAAAATATTGTGTTTTTTGTTTATATGGTTTATAGATTTAACAACTACAGTTTATACTTTTTATCAAGTCTATAAATTTATTTTACAAAGTTTCAAAACTTGGTTTATGTCAAAACATCAAAATTCAAGTATCTTATGTTTTGGACATATTTGTAAAATGATGATATTTTACAAATGGGAGACGTTTTTTGAAAATCAGTTTTTGTAATATGTATATTATCATGTTTACAATCACTT